TCTTGTTGGTCTTATAAGTATAAGTAGCTAGATACCAATATTCAGAATTGGAAAGGAACTAAATCATGAAAGCAAAATGAAATTCACTAACATTTTACTTTATCATAAACATTCCAAATAGTATTAAAAAACCACATATATTCATATCGTTTACCAATTTATTCAGTATCACTTCCATAAGGTGCACACGCCATTCCACATACAGGAATAACATTTCACAAACTTCCTTCTTATTTCTAGCTATTTAAAAGATGGTTTTGACATCTTTACCTTTTAAGTTCAATAGGCACTGAAAGTAAGACAAGTTTAACTGGCTACTGATGGAGGAGCATCTGGTTGCTTCTCTGGGATAGTATCTTGAAATGCAGGTAGCTCATTATAGGCATCATTCAACCTAGCTAAAAGAGGAAATTGAGCCTGCAAAAATGACAGAAGAAGAAAGAAGACTTAGTAGGTGTCCACTATGAAAGACCACAAAGGATAAAACCTTAAAGTGTTAGCTCCTTATCTTTACCAGTATCCATGAAATAAAATAGAACACTACAAAACTAAAAGGTAAGAAGTTTTTCCTAAAAGGATGAAGAAACAGCGCACAAAAACAAAGAAATCTCCAACAATAAGTCAGCCCTTGTGTCATAATGGCCTAAATACATTGAAACAAACACCAATTGAATGTAAACTTGGCAGAGAAGTTCAAGGAACAACCATTACCATGTCAACATTGAACCTCTTTGTTGCTGCATTAATCTGTGGAGCCAAAAACAAATCAGCCTGCAAAAGATAGCCTGTTACCGTTCGGTTTGATGCTTTTCACAATAAATTAAAATATATCACAAGAACTCTCGTCATCTAGTTCAATTAGAAGTGAAGTTTCAAAGAACATTGTCCAAAGCAACTCAGACAGTAAGAAGCTTACAACAATACCCTAATGAATTGCATATTAAATGTCAATCATTGACAATGGTTGGTCCTGTTGTGATTCGGTCCATCACATTGTCTCATTCAGTCATTGTATGGTACTGAAGTAGCAGCCTTAACAAAAAGGCTGCTTTGTCCATTCTAGAGTTTTTTTATAATAAATTTTACATTTTACCAAAAATAAAAGACAATGGTTATGCCATTTTATCTCAGAAAATCTAGACCCATGATTTGAGAAGAGAACTGCATCAAGTTTCAAGTCCAAAAAACAAGAGGGTGTACACTCTGGACATCACACTTTGCAGAAACAAAAAGGTAAGAAACAAAAGTGGTTAAAGGTGACATTGAAACCCCAACTTCCATTTTGTAAAAACTTCCTTTAGGAAAGTATATGCAGCTTGAAAACTTTACCATGTATAACATAGAATAATATAAAGGTCTAACACTACTAGAAAAATGACATATACGGACTGAACATATACGGGCCGAATAGTGTC